TTTTTGGATTTCCTCGTTAAGCATCACATATTTATCCTACACTTTTTTTCTCTGAAAATTTATATCATTTACACCGTGTTCTCATTAAGATGATTTATATTTTCAAAATTTCATATTGCAGATTGGTTTAAATTGAAGAATCTCGAAGAGTTAGATCTAAGTCAAAATCTATTTGTGGGATCACTTCCTTCTTCTTTCTTAAACATGACATCTCTCCGAAAGTTGGAACTTTCACGAAATCAATTTAGTGGAGAATTTGATTCTAATATTGCTAGTCTTACATCACTTGAATCTTTTGGTTTTACAGACAATCAGTTTGAAGTTCCTGTTTCTTTTACACCATTTGCCAATCATTCAAACCTTAAGTTCATATATGGTGAAGGCAACAAAGTCATATTGGACTTACAACCTAGTATGCAAACTTGGATACCTAAATTTCAATTACAAGTGCTTAGTTTGCCTTCAATAACTGATATTGATTCTCTTCCGCTCCCCAGGTTTCTTCTATATCAAAACAATTTGACTAGCTTAGATTTCTCTAGTTGGAGGTTGGAAGGAAAGTTTCCTCACTGGTTGTTTAACAACAACACAAAATTGACTGAGCTTCTTGTTAGAAATTGCTCTTTCACAGGTGAAATCCTGTTACCATTGCATCCCCTTACTAAGATGAGGAGAATTGATGTGTCCAACAATAACATAACCGGCCAAATCCCCAGTAACAATATTAGTTCAATTTTACCAAATTTGCAATCTCTAAACTTGTCCACAAATCACATCCAAGGTTCAATTTCTCCTGAGTTTGGGAAAATGAGCTTATTGCAGACTTTGGATTTATCAAATAATCATTTATCAGGAGAGATTCCAAAGAACTTATCCGGGCATGGGTCATTGCTTAAATACTTGAAACTTTCACAGAATAAGCTAGATGGACCCATATTTCCAACTTTGAAATACTTGGAGGAGTTGTATTTAGATTACAATAGCTTTTATGGTAGCATACCAAGTAGCTTTCTTGACTCATCTCTCATTCACTTGGATCTAAGCTATAATAATTTAGTGGGGAAACTACCAAGTGTGGTTGGAAATTTGTCATACTTGCAAACACTTTCATTGTCCAACAATGATCTTGAAGGGTCTATTCCGACAAGGCTAGTGGAACTTGAAAATTTATCGTATCTAGATATCTCAGACAATAATTTGACGGGTTCTGTGCCATCTTTTATCAATGCTTCGGTGAATTACATCCATTTGAGCCACAACAGGTTAAGTGGTTTATCCAAAAGAATGTTCAGCAATAGATCTTTCTTAATGATGCTAGACCTTAGCTACAATGAAATAACTGGTAGCATTCAAGATATGATGCAAGACCTTGCTCACGCAAGGTTGAACATACTCCTTTTGAAAGGTAACCGCTTTACAGGACGTTTACCGGAGCAGCTATGCCAATTGGTAGATTTAAATATACTAGACCTTTCTTATAACACTTTTTATGGTCCAATACCCAATTGCTTAGGTAAAATGCCTTTTGAGAATGATGACTCATTAGGGGGCGCATTCAATGGGTTTATTCGTGGAAAAAATGCACATTCAGGGATTTTGATACCAAATATAAACGTGAAAGCAAACTTCACTACAAAGAAAAGATCCTACACATATTCAGCGAGCATCCTTGCTTATATGTCCGGAATTGATTTATCCAAAAATAAACTAAATGGAAGTATTCCATATGAGCTTGGAAACTTGACAAGACTTCGAGCATTGAACTTGTCTCACAATTATTTGATTGGACAAATTCCAACTACATTCTCCAATTTAGAACACGTAGAGAGTTTGGATCTTTCTTTCAACATGTTAAGTGGTGAAATTCCTCCTCAACTAAATCAATTGAGCTCTCTTGCTGTATTTAGTGTTGCGCATAACAACTTATCAGGCAATACACCCGAACAAAAAGGCCAATTTATTACCTTTGATGAAAGCAGCTACGAAGGGAATTCTCTTCTTTGTGGACCTCCATTAACAAGAAGTTGCCATCCTTATGCACAATCACCTGCCATTTCTCCAAATGATGAAGACGATGACAGTCCTATTGACATGCATGCTTTTGTTGTAAGTTTTGGTGTGGCATACACATCGATATTGCTAGTAATTGTTGCCACTCTCTACATTAATCCTTATTGGAGGCGAGCATGGTTTTCCTCTATGGAATTGATCATCTTTAGTTGTTATTACTTTATGCAAGATAACTGGAGGAGGTTTTCAAATTCTAGAAATTTGTAATATAGTTTATCTTGTATCCTTAGATTGTCTTGTTTGTTAAAAATTGATTCAATCGTGGTCTCCTCATGTCCTTTTTGTTAAAATCTCTCAAATTTTTGTTTTGACTCTTCCTCATCTCTAAATGTCATTTTTGTGTTCTTCATATGTGGAGAACTAATATTTGTGGATCAATTCATTAAACGAAGATAAAAAAAATGAAGCTAAAATTGAGTTTTGAACAGATCATGTAACACTATGAATTTATTATTTTCTAATTGAAAAAGGAAAAAGAGAAAGAGCAAAAGGAACATGTAACATCCCAAAATACAGTAATAACCATAATTTAGAATTAATTACATTGCATAATCAAACAATGCAGTCTTACACTAAAAAGAAAACAACGATCATAAACCGAACGGCTTTAAGTACAAAATTTAATACATTAATACTGAGGTAACAAGAGTTCGGGATGAACGGTTTTACAAAACCAAATAACCGAACGTTCAAAAATCAAAATTAACTAGCTCTCATCTATTAATAACCGGACGCACTCTAAGGCTCGGCCTTGACTTCCACATCTACCA